TCATCATCATCATCATCATCATCATCATCATCGCCACCACCACCATCATCATCATCATCATCATCGTCTTCATCATCGTCATCATCATCGTCATCGTCCTCGCCATCATCCTCGTCATCATCATCATCATCATCATCGTTATTCAATTACAATTTATCATTATTGGCAATTATTGGCATTATCACGAAAGCTAGCGTCAGCTCGCTAGAGTCTTCTTGCTTTAGCGAGTATTCCGGGGCTCCCCAAGGACATCACGTGATTTTTCACGCGTAAGGCCCCCCCCTGCCCCCTTCCCCATATATATCATTGTTATATATCATATATCATATATCATATATCATTGTTGCATCCTCGTTGGGACGAACAATGCCGCGACACGATGATGACAGTCCCTCCGCAACTCACCTCTTCCCTTCCTTCTTTCTCCTACCCCGCTAGCTTTCGTCATCCACCCCCGGCCTCAAGTTTTTCTATAGTCTTGGACTTGCTGAGTCAATTAGGCGTGGGAATTCCCTATGGGAAATCCACGACAGAAATGGTGAATATATAGGGAATATGTAGGGAATATGTTTCTATTTTCTGGGACCCCTTAGGCAAATCCAAGTGGGTGTATAGTGATCTTTGTTCCTCACAAAAATCAGAAAAGAAGGGAACATCGATTGGGTAATGTCCGTGATGAGACTAAGCTCTGGTTGATTACCCCCATCATTGGTTATCCCGGAATCAACAGCCCAGAGGTTCAGCAAAATCCGGGCTTGGCATAAGAAGGTGTTTTCCTCCAAATTGGAAAACAAGTGGACTAAGTGGACAATGAACTCAGCTGAAAAGTGAATTCTTTCTTACGGCTATCTAAGATGGGCCATAAACCATACCCTCTGGTAATTTAACATAGCTATTGAACATGGCCCATAGAAAGTTCGTTGATTTACCGTTTTTAAAGATTGTGATTTTCCAGTTCGCTATGTCAACCATTATTATAACCATTATTATAACCATTATTATCCATTATTCACCATCATGAAAACCACTATTAACCACTATCAACTATGGAAAATCACCATGTTATAGCTGGCTAAATCCACTATAAATCGCCATTTTCAATAGCATTTTATGTAAGTTGGTTTATCACTTCCGATGGCATGCCAAGTTGGATGAAAACACACGAGGAAGGCTACTGGACGAATCCAAAAGGTTGTAAAAAGCGTTGGTGAGGTCAGTTAATGTAGCACTTCATGCTACCATGTTCCCATTAAAAATCCTTAAGATCAAAAAAAGTGTGTTTTTTTTTGGGGACTAGCTGACTACACCATTTTCGGACAGAGCCGTAGCATATTTAGTAGCTCAAAACCTTCTTGATTTTGCTAAAGCTATGGCTAAAACAAGGTCACAAACCATCCCCCTCCCCCAAAAATACATCTACAATCATATACCCTCTGGTTATTTTTCACATAGCCATTGAACGATCCACCCATTTTTAAGAACGGTAAACCATCTATAAATGGACATACATGTATATATAGGCTATAGATGGTATACATCAACCATTCCCAGTCATGGACCAGGACACGATGCAGTGCGACCTGCAACGGCGGTGTGCGTGCGTCCATGCCACTTGGCTTTCCATGGCTTTCCACGGAAGTGGAACTTCCGGGAAGGGTTTTGAGGGAGATATAACTATAGCAACTAGAGTTCATGGGATATAAAATATATATATATATATAACTATAGTTTATGGGGAATGATGAGATATTCGGAGATATAATTATAGTTGATGGGAGATATAACTATATAACTATAGTTGACGGTGGAGGATATGTATTATATATAATATAGATGTAACTGATAATTATAGTTGATGGGGATCTCGTAACAAATTCGCGAAGCGGTATCCGTTAGGTGTCGTTTCTTTTCTGTGCAAGGTGGGGCCCCGTTTTGGATAGCGTTCAGTTGCCTGCTGGGTCACTAGGTGAACGATGGCTTATGGTAGACGCAACGAACTAGTTAATGGGGTTCTTACAACTTTGGGTGGCCCAGCTGTTCTAATTTGGATGATTTAACTCCATTCCATTTAACTTTGCTTAAACAAGTTATATAACATTGTCAGGTGTGTGTATCTATAGATCTTGTGAACAAGTTATTCCCTACAATGTGGTGCCCCCCGAGATATAAGTTGGTTTATTAACCCCATGAATTCTATAGTTAGTTGCGTATAATAAACCATAGTTATTGGAGTTATGTTCACCAACTTAGCTATCGTAAACGGGGGCCCCACATTGTATTCGTATTTTCTGTGTTTCTGATATTTTTTCAGAAAGTCGTTGCTGTTTGAAGGTGGTTTCAACCAATTTGGGGCTGGGAAATTCCCACCATATGATTTTGGGATCCCAAAATTCAACATCATGCATCAATTATGCTATATATATAATATATTTATTTATACATATTGTGTTGAAATATATTGAAATCCATGGCTCAAGGATGTTTAAATCATTTAAATCCATAAAAACACATCGGCACAAATCCATTATAACATCCATATGAATCCACAAAAAAAACATGATACAATCCATTGAAATCCAGGGAGTAGCCCTTCCAGTGTTTTTTTTTTGGTTTCTCCAAAGTCTTCCCTCAGGCGACGCGTGATGAGAGAAGCGGATTACGGTGGCGCGGCCTGCGAAGCATCATTGAGGACGTGGTGCGAAGTGGCGAAATGGGATGAAGAAAACTTGGAAACATCTTGACTAACCTCCGGAAATCAAACGTGGTAATGGAAAATCCTCATGTTTTTCCCCCCAACAAGGCGGTGCCCCCTACTTGGAGGATCATCCCACTTCGCAACTGGTGAGTTAATATAGTTATAGCCCATTTGTATATCGGATTATTACAATGTGGGGCCGCAAACGATAGCTAAGTTGGTGAACATAGCTCCAATAACCATGGCTTATGATACGCAAATAACGAACTAGTATTCATGGGGTTTACAACCCAATTTATAGCTTGGGAGGCCCACATTGTAATGGATAAATATAAAATAGATAAAATAGGACATTGATGGATATTGAGATTTGATAGTCAAATAGAATTATATTATATGTGGTTAACGGATGTTTGCGGTAATACAATTAATGGGAGATTTTATGTTTTTATTTTTTTGGCGGGATATAGTAAAATACAATGGCAATATGGTAGGATATGATGGAATATGATGGGATATGATGGGATATGATGGGATATGATGGGATATGATGGGATATGATGGGATATGATGGGATATACATCTATCTATAGTTATTTTCACTTGTTTTCGATAGCTAAGTTGGCTTAGTTCACTCGGGGAATTGTAGGGTGTACTGGAGATAGAACTACATTACAATTAGTTATATATAGTTTATGGGGGATTATCTAGTAACAGCTGCAAGGTAATTAATGAACTAATGAATTATTGACCTCACGTCGTGACGTCACTGGAATATTTTTCGAGGATTCGGGGAATCAAAGCCTGCCGTAACAGCGATAAAATTTCAGCTTAGTGAATCGTCATAATTCAGCCGGATCGATTAATAGTGGTTAATAGTGGTTAATAGTGGTTAATAGTGGTTAATAATGGATAATAATGGTTATAATACTGGTTCATGATGGTTACCCTCTGGTAAACGTTTACCAAAAAACTATGGAACATCACCATGTTTAATGGGTAAATCAACTATTTCTATGGACCATTTTCCAGTTCCCAAAGTGTCAAATTACCAGAGGCTAGTTGGAAGAACTGTAGTCGCCCTTTAAAAAGTTGGACATTTGGAAAATATGGAGGAAATATCGCCGGACCTCTGGAAACAAGTTATCTTTTGGGGGGTTGCTATAACCCATAGGATCCATGGTGCTGCTATATATATGGTGTGCCATGGATCCCATCAATATACCCCAGTCATGTTAGCATTTTTCTACCAGCACCATGGATCCGTCATGGGTAATGATATAAGCACTACCAAATGGAACATTAATTATGGCTTAAGTTGAGGAAATTTCTCTGGAGAATTTGGCGATGAAACCATTCTATGGTAAATGGTACAATGGGATTGTTATGATTGATGGATATTAATGATAATGGGATGCAGAACCAACGATTGATCATACGATATTTGGGTGTGTCTGAAAATCGGGATGCCCATAAAGTGGCGGCTTTAAATGGGAAACATGATGACATGATTATGAACTGTGAGATTTTGGAGTACCCCGGGATACCCCGGGTTTCTCCTTATCAAGACTGACCACTCCACACTCTACACTCCAGATATTCAGGAACCACCCCATGTTTCTTCATTTTCTCATCTGAATCATTGACCAACCATTGACCAACTTTACCATCCCCAGATGCTCTATGGTGCTGGAATAATGACCTACACTCCAAGAATTGCCCAGTTTTGTAGGTAAATATTCCATACATGGACTGGTTGGTGGTTTGGAACATTGTTTTTTTGTCCATTTATTGGAAAGAATGATCCCAACTGACGAACTCCATCATTTTTCAGAGGGCTAGGGCTCAACCACCAACCAGTGGAGCATCGATCCACTGTTCTCCGCGAACTTCGCCGGACGTCACGGCCGTTCGCCAGGAAAACCGAGGCTTGCGGCACTCGGTCCTGTGATCATCACGCGGACTGTGTCATTGGTGCGTCGGGCTTCCCGGGAAACCCGGTGGCGTCGCCAGATGTGCCAGCAGATCATCCCGGTTATTGCGCCCGGATATACATCATTTATACATAGATATACATAAATTATATAAATATGTTTATATAGGATATACAATATATATATAATATATTTATGTGTATGAAAAAAGTGTATATATATAATGTATAGAAATTTATTTATTCCACTTAATCGCAGTATATCTCAGTTATAAGAGGACTAACCCTACACTTACCCTTCTTTAAGTGGGGGTCCTTAATAAACGGGTCTGCAGATCGGTCGACCATGGGGACCAACCCCTTTCCTGCGAGGTGGGGAGCTTGGCGTGGCTGCGAGATACCAGGCGCGTATGGAAAGATAGATTGAACCATGTATACATATATATATACATATATACAATGTGGGCCCCCCTAGATAGCTAAGTTCGTGAACATAAGTCCAATAACTATGGTTAATTATACACAAATAACTACAGTTAATGGGGTTTATAAACCAACTTATAACTGGGGGGCACCACATATATACATATATACATAGGTATATATGTAGACATATATGTATATATCTATACATGTCACCTACTATGGAACATGGTTCATATGACCATGAACAATGCTGGATTATCTGGGATTTTCATGGGGTTTAATCAACAAGATGGTGCCCCCCCCCAAGTGATGTTTGTTGGTTTATAGGTCCCACGAACTATATACAGTAGTTGTCAATAGTTCTAAGTTTACCAACTTAGCTAACAAACTGCCTCACCACCTTACAAAAAGAATGTGTCCATTTTGTTTTTTTGTGATTGTAACTTTGGACCCCACAGATGGCCATATCCCATTCGCCAACTTTCGCTTCCTGTCGGACAAGCACTCAGAAGTTGAGGGCTCAAAATCGACAAAAACATTGAAATCTCTGGAGCTTGGATAATGTGGGTAAAACAATGCCATGTTTACCACCCATGACTGAGAATGGGGGCAACATACCACGCATAAAAATGGTGACGACTGGGGAATGGTTTATGATTGTTTTACCCATATTAACAGATATGATTTGAATAGAATAGTTATTGTTATTGTTATCATTTTTATTTATGTCATTATATATTTGTTAAAATTAATACCCTCTGGTAATTTAACATAGCTATTGAAAATGACCATAGAAATAGTGGATTTTCCCATTAAAAATGATGATTTTCCATAGTTATGTAAACGTTTACCAGAGAGTAAGATTTTCCATGTTATATCAATATTGATCATCATTTTTATCATTATTTATGCCATATAATATTGATATATCATTTTTATCTCTAATTAGTGATTTATTGTTCAAAGATATTGCTGCCAGGGACAGTGCAGATGACCAGACAGCGGCAAATTGAGACCTACGCCAAGGCTCGTGGCAGATCGTGGCAGTGGCAGTTCTGTTGGGTTCCAGGTAAATCAGCTATTTCTATGGCCATGCCACGAAACTTATTGCAAACAGTGGTCTATGGCCATAGAAATAGTTGATTTACCTATTAGAATAGTGGTTAATAGTGAATTTACCTATTGTTTGATGATTAATAGTGGTTAATAGTGGTTTTCATGATGGTGAATAATGGATAATAATGGTTATAATAATGGTTATATAATGATGGTTACCCTCTGCTAAACGTTTACAAAAAACGAACTGGAACATCACCATGTTTAATGGGAAATCAACGAACTAAATGTGCCATTTTTTATATATTAAATTACCAGAGGGTAATATCCAGCAATGACTATCATGATATTATAGTGGCTGGAGATTCCATTATCAATCATAATTATCATGATAACCATGATCAATCATAACTATCATGATAAAATCCCATTATCATTAATATCTATCAATCATGACTATCCCATTGTAGCATTTACCATAGAATGGTTTCATCCCCAAACTCTCCGGAGAAAAATCCTCAACTTCAGCCATACTGTGGATGCTTTGGAAAGCCTACATCACCCTACGGATGGCTGATCCCCCCTAAATCATATGGAAAATAATGGGATGTTTACCACCTATCAACTGGTGCAGGACTTATTATATATTATTTTTCCATCCACTGTATTTAATGGTAAACATGGGAAGAAACCAGCAAATTTTATGGACAACTTGGAAGAAATCCAGTCAAATCGTGATATAATAGCGATATACAGTGATACAATGGGGATATAATGGGGAGATACAGCAAACTACAAATCTGAGAATCCTGCTGGATGGTCATATAGTTTCATACGTTACTCTTCTGCCATAATTCAGATTTGTTTTTCAAACTAGCTCAAGACATGCAGGGCAAAGATGGGCATTGAAATCCAGTTTCTAGGGCGCCCATCTTTGACCCATCATGTTCTTTTTCTGGAAAGTGGGACAGCCAGACATAGTGATGACTCTCTGGTAAACTAACATATATCTATGGAAAATCACCATTTTGTATAGATAAACCATAAACCAACTATGAATCACCCATTTTCCAGTTCGCAAACTCTTAGGAAATACCAGAGGCTAGCTGGGAAGATCCCCGGTGGGACCATGGGATATTAATCGAACACATGGGATTCAGCTAGCAGGAACTTCATATGTGTTACACTAGCTGCAGGAACTTAGACAGCTCATTGCTGTCTGCTAGTGTAACACATATGAAGTTCAATGTCACATTGAGCTAGCCAGCAGGAACTTAATTATGTTCTCATTGCTGTCTGTATTTCTATTTATCAAATCGAATCAGGTCCTTTTCTGATTCTCATGTCAGTTTGTGTGTGTGTCTTTAGTTGCGGGAAACCGTCCATTGTTGATAGGCAAGATTCATCTTTCCCCCTGAAACTCGCATACTTCATCATATTTCTATGTTGACACTTTCTTTTTCATCTTTGTAGCTTTCCTGATTTTGTCAGATTTTTACATCACCCTTGTCAGTTTCTCGGATTTCTTGCCCATAGGATCCATGGTGCTGCTATATATGATAACATGGATCCCATCAATATACCCCAGTCATGTTAGCATCTTTCTACCAGCACCATGGATCCGTCATGGGTTGTGGCTTGCAGCTTGTACCCGTAGCCGCCGTAGCCGCCGTGACGCCCGCAGGGTGATGGAGAAGCCTGTGACGCGCCGCTCACCGAAACCGCGGGCTGCGAAAACCGAGACGACTTGAAGTGGTGCCGAAGCCCAGGATCATCCCAAGGATCGAGGAAATCATAGCTGTCATAGCTTGTAGAAATAGTTTTTTAAAATGGGTTATATATATATATAATATATATATATGGTTATCTAAAAATGGGTTATATAGGAAATAGTTAATATAGGAAAAATGGGTTATATATATATATGGTTATATTAAATATATCCATGTTATAACATGTCATGAATATTTCATAAACATTTCATACTGATGGGTAATGTGAACTAATTACAGTTACTGCTGATCGTTCACGGAACGTCGCCATTTACCAGTTACGTTCCATGGTTAAATCATGCACATCAATACCCAGAGGATCCATGATGCTGCTATATATGATGTGCCATGGATCCCATCAATATGCCCTGTGATGTTAGCATTTTTCTACCGGCACCAGCCGGATCCTAATTATGGGATATCATGAAAAATCAGGTTACCATCAGCATTTTCCCAAGTTGTTCAACCCGTTTTTGATGGATCTGAACATGTTTCCCCTAGGTGAAACGGTCCACCAACGCCTCGAACGCCTCGAACGCCAGGTGTGACATCTCCTTCTGGAGTCCCTGGAGCACCTGCCCTGTGGCCTGTGGAGGGGGCCAACAGATGCGCGCACGGAAGCCCTGTCGGAGAAGGGGGAAGGATCGCACGGAGGCATTGAACTATGGTTTAATGGTAGTTATAACTATGGTTACCCTCTGGTAAACTAATATAACCATGGAAAATCACCATTGTTAATGGGAAAACTCACTATAAATGGCCATTTTCAATAGCTATGTTAGTTTACCAGAGGGTATTGAGGTTTATAGTAATTTATAAACCTACTTACTAAGTGGCTTAGTTCACTAACTTTGCAACAGAATTCAATGATATTCAATCATGGTTTTCCCATGGTTTTCGCATGTTCATACGGGTTTTAACACTAGTTCATACGGGAGAAGAAGGCAACATATAATATGAGGATAGAACTGAACCCCCCTGTTGGTTGATAATTGAATTGGGGGTGGTTCCGAACCAATAGATTGCAGATGATCAGAATCCATAGGGAAATAATGGTTGGTTGGTGGTGTTTGGTTTGGTTTCCATGGCTGGATTATGACTTTCCAGTTAAACAGTTGGGAATGGAATGGAAAATCATCCCAACTGACGAACTCACCAACCAGTCATGGGAAATCCGGCTCTCCACATGTCATCGCGACACGTCGGGATCGCTGAACTTCAACTAACTGTGGAAGGAAACGCAAATTTGAAGGCAACCAACGAAGATTGAGATCTTCGTTTGGCAAAACAGAACTTGTCAAATCAAAAGCTTTGTCAAGGGTAGGTTAACACGGCTTATCTTCAGCCATTTTTCGGAGGAACATATCATATCCAGCTATGTGAAAAGGAACTTTAGGCTACATATTTGGCCATCTCAGGCCATCGCCATATGGTTTCATGGGGGATCCCCAGTCATCATCGACTTGGAGAACTTGACAGTCAACCACCATGACTGGAGGTGTCTCCATGACGAATGGTCCAGTGTTGGATGGTTGATTGCCCCTCCTTAAGCTTTGAGAACTTCAATGTTCGCGAGATCTCAACCCATGTGAGATCTAGACTCTCCGTCGACCTATGTGGATGGATCTGGATCAAATTCATCACCATGTCACCACATGGTACAGCTATGGTACAGCTATGCCCAAATTCACATCAATTCACCCCATTAAATTATAAATACTAAATGAAGTTCTACAGACATCTACAGATAGTTATATCTCCTTAAATGGGTCATTAACAGCATTTAACATATCCCATAGGATCCATGTATGGTATATATGCTAACATTTGGGGTATATTGATGGTAAATGTTACCATATATAGCAGCACCATGGATCCTATGGGTATCTATTAAAGGTCATTCTAGTTCAACTATCCCCTTAAAAAATTGCGGGACTCCGCTCACCACTTGGTGTGTAAAATGGCCATGATGGAATTAACACGCCGAGGTTCGGCATTTGCGGAGCCAATCCAACTGCTTTCCGTCCGGTCCCCTGTGCTTCGAGAACGACCAAGAAATCACCGCCCTGGTTTTTGTTGGGGTTAGCCGGTTAGCCCTGATGTTTCTGCTATTTCTTATGGTTTCTTATGGTTTCTGATGGTTCTGATTTTGGTTCTGATTTTCCTAGCAGTTTCTACATCATTCTGAACAATTTGCAGGATTTCAAAGCCACATCCTTTTTGCTCGTGAACTTTTTGCCGTCCTTGGAGCCTTGACTTCTGAGGATGGCGCGGGAGGATCTGAAAGAAATCCGCGGCTGCAACACGGACTCCTGTAACTTTAATGGTGGTCGACTGCCTCAGTTTTTGAAAGGGTCAAACAGTCAAACCTGGTCGGAGGTGATGACGGGGATGATTTCGTGATACCGTATGAAAACATGTATAAAATACACTTTGGTAATTTAACATAACTATTGAACATCACCATTTTTAATGGGTAAATCAACTGTTTCTATGGCCATTCTCAATAGCTGTGTTAGTTTACCAGGCCGGGTAACGATGAAGATTATCATGACTTTTCATCACCATGGGATACGCCCTTGATGATATCGGGATTATTATCCAATATGGGATAGATGGGATGATTTGTTGGATTGGATCTCGAGAATTCGACCATGGTGAGTTCACTCGATTTTGTCGCATCAGGGTGTCGGGGATGAACTACCAATCATGGGGATACGTGTTGGGGATAGAATGCCTCTGTTGATTGGTTCTTATAGATTTTTTGTGGGTTAAGTCATAGGGGTTCCATAAATAAATGGGGATACCCCAAAATCATCATCCATTTATAGATGGATTTTCCCTGAAATGATTCCCATCCTAAGCTCGCTTGGGGATTTCCCCTATGACTACAGAAACCAGCATCAGTCAGCACCTGTCCCTGGTGATCCTGGGGATATGGCAATTTGGGGGTATGTGAAACATAAAACAAAACAGGAGGATGGGGATGAAAAGCCACGAATCCGTCGGTTGTGTTAGTTCACCCTGCTTTTGTACGTGGGAATACGTGGGATGTTTGTTTTACCCTCTGGTAAACTAACATAACTATAGAAAATCACCATTTTTAATGGGAAAATCCACTATGAATGGCCATTTTCAATAGCTATTTTGACATAACCAGAGGGTAAGTTTTTTTTCCACAGAAATTATCTCGGGTGAACTAACCAATACGATTCGTGGACCACCGTGTCGGATGGGATTAGCCCATCCTCCTGGCCCATCCTGGCCCATCGTTCCAGTCAGGGGATGTCAGGCTCCTAAACCTGAGCTACAGATCTATTGGAGGATATTGGAGGTATCTACAATATATTTTTGGCCTAAATTTAAGGCCTAAATTTAAGGGACATACCATGATATATTACCACCCAAAAGAAAATGGTTCCGGTCATCCCATGACCAGATATGACCAGGTTGCGAAATGTCGTCCTGGTCTGCTTGGGGCCAATGCTCACAAGACTGTGGCATCGGTGTTCGGGGCCCTGGGATGCCCTGGGGCCCTGGGATGCCCTGGGGCCCTGGGATGCCCTGGGGCCCTGGGGGCGGGTGAAATCCTGCGGCGGCTTTTTTCTCACAAAAAATGGGTGCTGAACTCCCGATATTTCTTGATATTTTACCTGGAAATTACCATCTGGTTATTTAACATAGCCATGGACAGATCCACCCGTTTTTAATAGGTAAACCATCTATAAATGGGCCATCTATACCATGGCTATGTTAAATAGCCAGAGGGTATATGAATCTATTGTGTCAGATGGTAGGTGGTGAAAAGCTGAATTCTGGCAAGATTGAATGATCAACTGATCCATGAAGATCCATGAAGTTCCATGAAGCGTCCCAAATGGGATAGGAAACTGCCGCGCAATACCTACGACCACGTTAGGTCACAGTCAGAACTCGCAACATCGACAAAGCCGCTGAGAATGGAGGTACGAGCCGTGAAGGGGTCAACATCATGACCCATAGGATCCATGTATGCTATATATGGTAACATTTACCATCAATATACCCCAGTCATGTTAGCATATATACCATACATGGATCCTATGGGTTGGGAGTTTCATGGGAGTTTTTGGCTGCGATTAAAATATGTGATTGATGAAAGGTGGGGCCCCCAAACGTTAGGACACCCAGAACTTCAAAGGACACCAGAAACTCACCCAGTCACAACGCCTAGGTTTAACCTAGCCTTTGTGAAGCTGGGCAATTTTGATGAAATTACAACTTATTAATACTTATTATATATATGATAAATGTGAAAAGGCCGTGAAAAGGTAGTGAAAAGGCCGTGAAAAGCCCGTAATTTCCTGTAATTTGGGTAAATTGTAGCCCTTTAGTCAAACCTGTCCTTTGTGACAACGGACTTAGTAAACCTATCCTTTGGAAGCATTGGGTAAGTTGTTTTGTAGACCCCATGAAAAAAAATACACCACCGGAGACCCCAAACAGTGGGTGTATTCAGAAAGTGTTTTGAGGAGCAAGGTCAAACACATGAAATAGCAGTCACAGGAAGCGTGAAAATGTCTGCAATAAGTGCCGGAGACCTCTTCACGTTTTCTTCCGGTTTCGCTTGCTTTGTCGCAACGCTAGATGCCGAAGAACGATGAAGAACACATCCAATAGGGGTGCAAGTATTTGGATCTAAACACTCGATTCAAGCACACACCATCCAACAAAGGAAACAAGAAGCAAGACAAGCTGGGAGACAAGCTGGGAGACAAGATGGGAGACAAGTTGGGAGACAAGCTGGGGGACAAGCTGAGACAAGGGGAGACAAGACCTCGGGAAGGCGGACACACCATCCAACACAGGCACACATGCGGGGAGACAATGGGAGACAATCGGAGACAGACAAGGGGAGACAAGACCTCGGTAAGGACACAATCCAACACAGACACATATGCAGGGAGACATTGGGAGACAATGGGAGACAAGGGGAAACAAGGGGAGACAAGACCTCGGGAAGGCGGACACACCATCTAACATAGGC